TAAAAATTTTCTCTTCCTAATTCTTTTCAGAATTTTTTTTTTTTTTCCCCCGTAATTCAAAAATATTTTCTTTCGAAATTTCACGTTTTCTTGTAAATAAATTTAAATCTAAATCAGAATTTATTTATTTTTATTCTCTTTTTGTTCAGCGTTTATTTTATTTTATTTTTATTTATTTATTTTATTTTTATTTTTTTGAAAAAAACTTGGCGATTATCTTTATTTTTGAATTTATTGATAAATAAATAAGGGATTCCCCCCCCACCCTCCACATGCCACCACGCCAAACCAAGAACTCCCAACGTGCCGCCGCCAACGCCGCCGCTGCTGCCGCCGCCACCGCTGTTGCGGCATCCTCCACACCCGTTCAGGCCACGTCCTCCACCCCCTCTTCCCCTGACATGGCCGCATCCTCCATCAACATGTCTGACATCCGCATCGGCTCAGTTGATAGCATCGCCCGCAACCTCGCAGGCGAACAACCACCAGCAAACACCGCCACCCTCGACCTCTCCGCCATCCTCCACGCACTCAACACCCTCCGAACCTCAGTCATCGCCTCTCTCGACGACATAAAGGCCAACATGTCGTTCATATGCGACCGCGTTACCACGATCGAAGGGACCATCCCCTCCATCACGGTCGTCACCACCGCGCAAACCACTCCCTCCTCCACAGCGCAAAACACTCCAACCTCCACAGTGCAAACCACTCCCTCCTCCACAGCCGCCTCCAACAACACCCCCCCACCGACCTCCTCCACTCCTACCACCTCTACCACCACATCCATCAACCCTTCAACCTCCACCATCGTCCCGTTCCCTCCACCTCCTCCCTCATCCGGCGCATCCAGCACACCGCCTCATTCCTCGCCCATCCATGTCACCCCTCTTCCCCCCCCTTACTCCCAAACCCTCTCCCAACCCATCACGACCACCTCCACCATCCCCACCATCCGTCCCACCTATTCCCAAGCCACCTCGGGGGTTTACCCCGCAATGCCATAACTCCCCCCCAACCACCTCCTTGAGGACAACAACCAAATCGACCACACCTACTACGACACCACCCCCGATAACCTCAGCTTCAACACCCTCTCGCAGATCGTTCACCGCGACGGGGAAATCCCCCGTTCCTTCCGATCCGGCGAAATCATGTCCTTCTCCGGCCTCCCCCAYGAGGACGTTTTCCTCTTCCTAACCCAGCTCCAGAACTCTTTTCACCTCCACCACATGGCCCTTGCCCACTGGCTCCCCATTGCCACCTCCCGCCTCCTCGGCAATGCCGCCAAATGGTGGATGGCTGAAGTCAGCAACCGCCGAGCCTCTGGAGGACCACGTCACTCCTTCCTCCAATGGGCCAAACTTCTCACTGCCACCTTCCGCCCCCTGAAAACCATTGACGACTAACTCGAACAATTTTGCCACCTCCGCCAAACCGGTCCCACAGACCGCTTCGTCCAATACATCCGCTCCCTCCGTCATCACCTCCCCACCACCGTCATTCCCGACTTTGCGTTCATCTCCCGCATCAAGCGAGTATGCCACAAAGA